CGGGGGGCGGGGAGGGGTCGGCGGGGACGGGCAGGAGCACGGCCTGGGAGCGGGACGGGGGCTGGCCGCGGGGTGGGGAGCAACGGGAAAGGGTGGTCTGGGCCGAGCCTGCGGCCAGTCCCTGGTGGAGGGTGGCCGTGACCACCCGGCGCCGCTTCCCCCATTGTCCCTTCTGCGTCGCCCTGCTGGTGACGGCCGCCGGGTTGCGGGATTCCCTTGGGCATACTGGAGTCTCCAGCCAGATGTGCGTCCCCTACCCCCTCGCCGTGGGCTCTGGCTGCAGAGTTTCGTGTTTGACCCTTGCCCTGTGGTTTCGGTGACCGGGCACCGATGACCCCGACCCTACTGTCTGTCGGAGGCAGTGATCCCAACCCTGCTGGAGACAGAATGCACCCGTCGCGGCAATAATGGCTTATCGGGGTCCATTTTCACCCCGGAGCTTTGTATTGTGAGAGGAAACTGAGGCACGGGGCTTGTTGACTGTATTAACTAGCCCTGTCGGTAGCTGCTCTTGCAGGATTCAGAGGTATTCTGTGATAATGTCAAAATAAAAACAGGAATGTGAGCTACTCCTACCTTCTCCCAAGTTTTTTTTCTCACCATAAAAGGCCATGAGTTTACCTTGCAGCAAAAAGGATGATCTTTTGACTTTAAAAAAAAAAAAAAAGCATCTTCCTGGGTCCCTTTGTGGTACCATGTTTTACAGCTCCTATTCCTGCTGGAGTTCTGTTCCTGCTGGAGTAACCAAGCCTCATCCTTTTTTGCCTCTGTGGCACCTCACTAGTGGATGTCAGACTTTTCCCATCTGTAGGGAGTGAATACTGACAAAGTAAGAGACAACCTACTAGGATTGTCTAGTATATTATTGCTTTGTTCTCGGAACTGCTCCAAAAAACCCTTCGCTAAAGGAGAATGCTTTAAATGCAACAGCCATAAAGCGATTTGTTATTGATTTTGGGCCAAAAAGTTCATCTTTTATAAATGGTGTGTAGACTAGGTATATGGACCATTTGGAAGACCTAACAGATTATCCATTTTAAATGACTGCGTTCTGTCAAAGGAAAAAATAAAAACTTTGCGTAGACTCCTAGGTATATTTATGTAAATATGCCGACTCCTGAAGATTGATGCTGGCTGGAATACAGTGGCTTCTTCAATATCCTGCAAAATACTCTTAAAAGTTTTTCTTTAGCCGGGCGTGGTGCCGCACGCCTGTAGTCTCAGCACTTGGGAGGTAGAGGCTGCAGATCTCTGTGAGTTCAAGGCCAGCCTGGTCTACATAGTTCCAGGACAGCTGGGGCCACGGGGAGACCCTGCTTCAAAAAGACCAAAAAAAAAAAAAAAAAAAGAAAAAGTTTTTAAGTTTTTTTTTGTTTTTTTTTTCCCAGAGTTTAAGTTTTCCTTTGTGTTTGGAAGAATGGTCCCTTCTGCAGAGGAAAAAATGTGCTTGCTTGTAGCTTTGCAATTTGTGTCTTGTCATTTGTTTCTGAATATCTAGAGTGCAGATGGCGGCCTCTGAAGTAGCTGGTATTGGGGCCAATGCCCCCAATCCTTCGGACTCCTCTTCTACTTTATGTGCTTCCAAGTCAGATGAAGCGCTTCCAGATGGTCTAAGGTAATGTGCAGATTCTTTTTTTTAAAATGTATTTGTATGTGTATGGAGTTTTGCCTGCATATTAAGTGCACCATGTTCATGCAGTGCCTGTGGAGGCCAGAAGAGGGCATCAGAACCCCTAGAACTGGAGTACAGCTGCCATGTGGGTGCTGGGAACCTAACCTGGGTCCTGCAAGACCCAGGGCTCTTAACTGCTAAGCCATTTTTCTAGCCCCATGTGCAGATTCTTGACTAGAAATTAGAGCTGATTGGGGTAAAAGGCTTTTGAGATGGGCTTCTGCAGTTGGTCTTTCCTCTTTAGGGGTTCTGATGGCACTTGTGTAGATTAAATTTTTTTAAAGGTTAGGACTGTGTGGTCTTTGTATTTCTGGTATCCAACATAGCAACTGATATTCAGCAGTTGAACAAATAGGTTAGAACAGGTATCAACACATCATAAATGCATATATTTCCTCACCCTGTCCTATATAGACATATGTTCACTTAACCATATCTTTGTATATCATAATCACATATATGTGCATATATAAATACATATATGTATATATATGGGGGTTTTTTGAGACAGGGTCTTACTCTCTAGCCCTGGCTGGCCTAAAACTCATGTAGACAAAACTGGCCTCAAATGCAGAGATTCACCCTCTTCTGCCTCCTGAGTGCTAGGATTAAAGGTGTATACCACCACACCTGGCCAAACTTACATATATATATGTATGTGTGTGTGTGTGTATATATATATTATATATACACACACACACATATTTTATTTATTTATTTATTTATTTATTTATTTTTGTCTTTTTTGAGACAGGGTCTCTTTGTAGCCCCAGCTGTCCTGGAACTCACTATGTAGACCAGGCAGGTGGACCAGGTCCACCTGCCTCTGCCTCCCAAGTGCTGGGATTAAAGGCATGTGCCACCATGCCCAGCTATGTGTATTTTTTAAGTTTTTATTCATCATTTTTATTTTATGTGCATGAGTGTATTGCCTGCATGTGTTTAAGTGCACCCGTGTTGTGCAGAGCCCTTGGAGGTCAGAAGAATGTATCAGATCCCCTGGAGCTGGAGCTACAGATGGTTGTTAACCGCCATGTGGGTGCTGGGAATCGAACCCTGGTCATCTGCAAGAGCAGTCAGTGCTCTTAACTGCTGAGCCATCTCTCTAGCCATATATATTATATATATATTTTTTTTTTATTTTATGTGTATTGCCTGCATGTATGTAAGTACACCTGTGTCATGCAGTGCCCATGGAGGTCAGAAGAGGGCTTCAGATCCCCTGGTACTGGAGTTACAGACAGTTGTTAGCTGCTATGTGGGTGCTGGGAACTGAACCTGGGTCCTCTTCAAGAACAGCCAGTGCTCTTAACTGCTGAGCCATCTCTTTAGCCCACATTTAAAAATTTTTTTGAGACAGGATCTCATTGTGTAGCCCTGGGTGGCCTGGAACTCTCTGTGTAGATCAGGCTGGCCTCAAACTCACAGAGATCCAACTGCTTCTGCCTTTCAAGTGTTCAAAGTGTGTGTGTGTATGTAGATCAGGGACAGCTTTCTGGAGTTGGTTCTTTCCATTCGCCATGTGGGTCTTAGGGATTGAAGTCAAGTCATCAAGCTTGGTGGGCAAGTGTCTTTACCCATGAGTCATCGCACTGGCTCTAGAACTGGCTGATCTTGAACTTCTGATCTTTTCTCTGCCTCTTGAGTGCTGGGGTTAGAGGCATGTGCCACTACACTTGACCTTCTCCAAACTCTGAGAGCAGGAGTTGTGATTATCTAACCTTGTCTCTTGGAGTGCACATTATGTGCAGTGGTGAACTAAATTGACTAGAGTACCTATGAATGATAAGGTAAATGATACTGTACTAACAGCTTTATGTGTATTAACACATTTAAATCCATACCAGTCCCAGATGGCAGGTGTTAGTATTCTATTACAGAGAGCTTAGTGATTTGTCCACAGTTACTAAACTGTGCTGGAGTCAGGGTTTGAACTCAGGCTTATCTGATTTTAGTGTACCTAATAAATTTTTGTTTTAAAAAAAGAGTATTTGAGCGAGGTGTGGTGTCACATTCCTGTAGTTCCAGCACCTGGAAGTTGGAGGCAGGAGGATCTGGAGTTCAAGATCATGCTCATTTCAAGTTTAAGGCCAGGCTGGGCTATGTGTGACTCTGTCTCAAATATAAATAAATAAATAAATAAATAAATAAATAAATAAATTCTAGTGAATGAGTAATGGGCAAATTGTTATATAAGCCTATCATAAATTTGTTATGCTTTTTAAAATTTTGCAATAAAATCAACCACATACTAGTAATAATAATAGCAACTAAGTGTTATTGAGTATTTACTATGTCCCAGCACTTTACTAAATACTTTCTACATATTTCTTTATGGCATCTTCACAACAGTCCTATTAGGCAGATAATACTGTTTCTATTTTAGAATTGAGATAATTTGTCTAGAGGCAAACAGCTAGTAAATTGTAGAGTTTGAATTCAAACCCAAGTACTGTATATGTCCAGGTTTATAATTAAGTTCCCTGCCCGCCTTCCACGGTTAACTCTCATCAAAAATCACTGAGAGTTTGCTGGAAGAAGAGACATTTTCTTCCTTGGTGTAGCTGCTTCTATAAATAACGCCCTCACCCGTCTCCTGTAAGTAACCCTAATTAAATTAAATTAAATTCTGTTGGCTCCCTGCCTCAAGAAAATCATAGAGTGTGTTTTTAAAGGTTTCTGTATCACAGATACTCTCTTAGCCATTTTGAGGAAAGAAGCATTCACTTAAAAGTCTCTGTCAGTGCTAATTTGGGATGCCTAAAGGGTCATTTGGCAGAATCTGTTAAAAATGGTACAGGAGGGAAAGGGGAACAGCAAAGGAATTTAGCATCAACAACCTTTGGGTGAAATACTATATGACTGTGAATGTTAGATGTCATTGTAAATATTCTTTAAAGATCTCTTTTTTGTTGTGTTTTATTTATATTTTTTCTTTTATTTTCGTGTTTAGCCTTAGCTAACCTGGATATTGTTGTATAGACTAGGCTGTCCTTGAACTCAGAGATCTACTTGCCTCTGCCTCCTGAGTGTTGGGATTAAAGGCATGTACCACTGAGCCTGGCTAAAGCACTCTTTAAAATGTAGTACATTGGAAAAGTGGCTCAATGGTGAAGAGCACTGGCTGCTCTTACAGAGGTTCTGGATTTGGTCTCTCGCTCCTAATGATAGCTCATAACCACCTATAACTCCAGTTCCAGGGGACCCAATGCCCTCTTCTGGCCTTTGCGTGCACTGTGTACATATGATATATATACTTATTGGCAGGCACACACACATAAAATAAAAATGAATACCTGTTCAAAAATAAAAGTAGCTAGGGGCTGGAGAGAGGACTCAGCAGTTAAGAGCACTGGCTGCTCTTACAGAGCACCTGGAATCGGTTCCCAGCACCCACATGGTGGCTAACAAACATCCATTACTTCAGTTCCAGGGGATCCAACACTCTTTTCTGACCTCCCATAGGCATTGTACAACATGAGTGCACTAATATACATACAAGCAAAACACTCATAGAATAAAAATAATAAAATATTTAAAGCCAGGTGTGGTGGTACACACCTTTAATCCCAGAACTTGGGAGGCAGAGGCAGGTGGATCTCTATGCTTTTGAGGCCAGCCTGGTCTACATAGCTCCAGACCAGCTGGGGCTA